ATATATATATGTATATATATATATATGTATATTAACATATTTTATATATTTTAAAATATTTATATTTTATTTTGAGTAATTGTCATTTTATGCTTTAAGGTCATTCTTACATTTTTGAGATTATGTCCCCCAAAATATATCAAAATGCATTTTAATTTAAAAAGCAAACAAAAACATATTCAATATAAAATATGGAACCAAATACTCAAATGTTAAAAGAGAGATGTTGAAATTGATCTTGAGTGTGCACTACACATCTAAACCTCAATTGATGTTTTGTCTTTGTAGAATTCAAGCGAAGACCAGGGAGCTCCGAGAGCGACAGGCCAGAGAGCGAGACTACGCTGAGATCCAGGACTTCAACCGCACCTTCAGCTCCGACGAGGAGCACACCTACGCCGGGATCGGCTCTCTGGACTCGTCCCTGGACAGCAGCTTAGACCTGAGCCATAACCCCGGTCTAGAGCGTCCGCAGAGCCCCCGAGACCAGGCATTGCCCTTAGAGGCTCTCTATGCACAGGTCAACAAGCCCCGCAACGGACGCCCACCATCTGCAGACAGGTAAGCTCTCACAGCTTCTCTTCCTTCAGAATCACTGTGACGTGATGCACAGGCTGCTTTTGAGTGTTTGTCAGGGCGGTTAAGTGATACTTGACTGATGTAACAGGACAATGACGTGCCTTGACATGTTCTTGCAAGACGCAACCTTGGCTGTGTGTTTCCAAAGCTTTGCATAATGCAAGCTAAAGTGTGTTTTCTCGCTGTCAAATATTTCTTATTTTGTAAGGTTGGATCGGGTGAAGGGCACCAACACTTTTGAAGTTTATTTTATTGTTATAAGTTTCTCTGCAGACCTCTCTGATAGATGTTCTTCTTTTATATATGTTCATGTCTGAAAGTTTGGAAAATGAAAAGCTGTTTTCATCCACCCTTTGTAGTGTGAAAAAAATTGAAAGTCAAACAAACAGTATTATCAGATTTCTCACCTGAGTCCCAGCGGCTGCTTTTATAGCACAGGTAAATCATTGATAATTCTCTGGATGGGAAAATGTAATATCCAGCAGGCTCCTTTATTATCACGGATCATGTCAGATCCACCCTCAACGTGCACAGAATCTCTGAATTCGTCTGGGTTTTTAACGAAAAGAAAAGTCAACTTTATACTAGAAACTGCTGCAATTAGCTGAACTTTAGAGTGTTTTTGACCCACTTAAATAAAACATTTCACAAAATGTACTGCTGGATGTGCTGCCAAGCATTTATGGTAAACTAAATTATTCTGTCATTTATTTTGAAACTTGCATATCATGCATTTAATATGTTTGTAATACATGTGTTATGATGAAACTGCAATTTAGTACATTTAAAATATACTAACTTCATATGTGATATTGAATAACACACTACAGGACGTACTTTACATGTGCTTTAGTCAACACATCAAAAGAAGTACTTCTTTAAAACATGACGAATATTATTAAAACAATGATTTAAAATGCACAATTAAAAGTAAGACTTTTAATTTGACATTCTTAGAAAGAAGCCTTTTGAAAAGTGCACTTAAGTGTTAAACACAGTCAAGTGTCTCTTTAAATACACTTAAGTGACCTTTTAATTTATTAATATTATACCAAGTTTTTGTATATACTTTTTAGTTTTGAAATACACTACAAGTACACTTTTAATACAGTTAAGCACACTTCTTAGGAGAAACAAGCAGTTTGGGTCACTTTGTTTACATTTGTTACTATATATGCTACTGTCTAAAACTTTTATTAATGTTAACAAATGATGCATCTTTTGAAAGGTCAAAGGGTTTAGTGTTAATATATGTGACCCTGGAGCACAAAAGCAGTCTTAAGTTGCTGGGGTATATTTGTAGCAATAGCCAACAATACATTGTATGGGTCAAAATGATTGATTTTTCTTTTATGCCAAAAATCATTAGGATATTAAGTAAAGATCATGTTCCATGAAAATATTTTGTAAATTTCCTTCTGTAAATATATTAAAACGTAATTTTTGATTAGTAATATGCATTGCTAAGAACTTCATTCGGACAACTTTAAAGATGATTTTCTCAATATTTTGATTTTTTTGCACTCTCAGATTCCAGATTTTCAAATAGTTGTATCTCAGCCAAATATTGTCCTATCCTAACAAACCATACATCAATGGAAAGCTTATTTATTCAACTTTCAGATGATGCTCCAGGGTCACACTCTGTTTTACGTTATAGATGCTCCAAAAACAGTAATATAGTCATTTGTGTTGGGAGTGTAAAAGGAACCATGCAACATTAAAACAGGACTTTATACCTTTAAGTAGAAACCTTTTTTTTTTTGTTTTTTGTGGAATATACGCCTCGATCACTCTGTTTCTCTAGCTAGCGGTTATGAAATGGTTAACGGTAAGTTATGGAAATGCTACTAAAGGCCAGCGTGTCTCTGTCAGGAACAGTAATGACTCTCTGTGGGTTTATTACGGCGGCGGTTAATTGGCTCATAAGCAGAGGCAGTGATTGACAGGTGTCACTCAGGCTGCATGACCTTTCCCAGGATGCAATGGGAAGGGGATTATTACGTTACCGACTGCTGTTGTCCCAGCAGGAGTGTTCCCAGCGGCCGCTGACACCCCGCCGTTCGGCCGCAGTGTGAATATGACGAGGTTACGCAGCGCTCAGCAATCTGATGAATCCTTGTGCCAGTATCTCTGGTGGCAGTGCTCTGTCCCTAGTGTACTGCAGTGTGTGAATGCACAACAATATTAGCATTCATTTATGCACTTATTTATTTACTTACTATGCATGCATATTACTAGGGTATTCTAATATGTGACCCTGGAGCACAAAAGCAGTCTTAAGTCGCTGGGGTATATTTGTAGCAATAGCCAACAATACATTGTATGGGTCAAAATGATAGATTTTTCTTTTATGCCAAAAATCATTAGGATGTTAAGTAAAGATCATGTTCCATGAAAATATTTTGTAAATTTCCTACCGTAAATATATCAAAACTTAATTTTTGAGTAGTAATATGCATTGCTAAGAACTTCATTTGGACAACTTTAAAGGATATTTTCTCGATATTTAGATTTTTTTGCACTCTCAGATTCCAGATTTTCAAATAGTTGTATCTCAGCCAAATATTGTCCTATCCTAACAAACCATACATCAATGGAAAGCTATTCATTCAGCTTTCAGATGATGCATAAATCTCAGTTTCGAAAAATTGACCCTTATGACTGGTTTTGTGCTCCAGGGCCACATATAATAGTACATTTTATTTATAAAAATACTTTATTATGATAAAAAGTTGTATCATTATTATTTAAATATAAACACTGTATAATTTTATAAACTTATATTATTAATTAAATTGTTACAGTAAGTATTATGTAATTTTTCAGTTCAATATCTGCTATATATCTATTATTTGGTCTTAGCTATAATAATAATAATAATAATAATAATAATAATAATAATAATATATTGTTACATATTCTTATTATTAAATATATGCACTATATGAAATATAAATACTGTATGCTTTTATGTACTATTATACTATTGTTAATAATTATTACACTATAAGTATGAATTACATTATACAGTAATTATGAATAATTATTCAGCAACTCTTCAGTTGTCATTAATAAAAATAATAATAATAATCATGTTAAATATTATGCATTATTTGAAATGTAAATACTGTATAATAGTATGTACTTTCATACTTTTATTAATCATTTAATTATTACATTATTATTACATTATAAGTATGAATCAGTCATTATCAGTCTGAATATTTATTCAGCAACTCTTCAGTTGTTGTAATCATCATCATCATCATCATCTGCAGAAAAAAAGAAAACAAAGTATAACGTCTTGGCAGAAAATTACTGGTACATTTCCATTATACAATACAATACAATACATCTTTATTGTCAACCATGCTTGAAATTTGTCTTTGACCACACCAGCGAAAACCAAATACACATACAGACACATACTACAAAATACATAAAAACCATCATACTGAATCACAGCTTTTTGATTAATAAATCCGATCGCAGCAGGTACAAAAGACCATTTATAAATATTTGTCTTTGCTCTAGGCATTAAAAATCCCAGAGGGCAATAAAACAAACTGATCACACAGAGGATGAGTTGGGTCTTTTAATATACACTCCATGTATATTAATATACACAAAATATACATATTTGAGGACATTTCCTTCAACCATAAAACACAACCCAATGCAATGTGTAATAAATGTGTAATAAAAATACAGGTAAAACACCTGTCAAAAAATCAACATGGAAAATTCCTTCAAAATAAAATATTACATCAGATGTTTTTAGAGTATAGTTTTACGTTAGTAGCAGTGTAAAGTTGTATATGTTGTTTTGTTTAGACACAGAGAACAATCAAATACAAGACAAAAGAGAAAAGAGAAAAAGCGATGTAGAAATGTTTGTTTTATGACTCTGGTAGATGTTATTACCGACAGTTTTGCTCAGCATCTTTCACTCCAGAGTGTCCTGATGTAGTAAAGGTTAAACTTTACTGCTTGAAAACAACTGCTTCTGTCTGTCCTGCAGGATTCATATAAATGTTTCATATATAGCTTATGATACAGGCTTCTCTGTTTTCTGCAGTGTGCGTATTCAGCTATTCTGTCTGAAGATAAGAAAAGACACACAAAGATATACAAAAACCCCAGAAGATGCATTTAGAGAGAAATTAGAAATGTGTGCAATTACTGAAACTAAATCTGAGCTACACTAGTTATCGACAACCTACAACCAAAACCCCTTGATCAAATACTGTAATGATTCAGCTTTATGAATTCCTGCCCATTTTCTGTTTGTTTATTAATCAGCTAAATACCCAGAAGCAAATACAAATATTTTCAGCACAGTCTGAGACATTAAGATTATCTTATCAAATTCTAGCATATTACTAGCTTGTTTTTCCTCTTCAGATATACTCATTTTAACTCTTTGCTCTCCAGCGTGAAATAATAAACGCATGTTTATTAAACTATAAGTTGCATATGGAAGGTCTTAAACACTGAGTGCAGTTTACTGAATCTTCTCTCCTTTTAAAATAAAAATAAAATGCGTATTTCAGAGAGTTATAAGCCTTGTCGCAAATGTACTTGACATCTGATTGCATGCAAATCATCCTGCGTATATTTTAAATAGTGAGTTTGGAGCTTTGCATATCACTTAGAAGCAAGCCTTTGTGAAATACGTTGTAATATTTGTTGTCGTGCCTCTGGAATAAATTGCACACTTTTATTGGCGTTTGGCTGCGAGGGCTGTAATCTGCATGAACGGCGTAATGCATTCACATTCTAGACAGTCACATCACTCCATTTGAAAAGCCCGACTCCCTCCGTGAATCAAAACAAAGCCCAAACAAACATTTGCATTTCTAAATGAAAGCTAATAGAAGTTTCATCGTGTCAGGCTCCTGGAATAAACAGTCCTTGAGCGAGCGTCAGCTTTAGCTTATTAGGAAGAGAGGAAAAAGTTTTATCACAGATTTTCTCAG